GGGAGGAGTGTGAGAGAACTTACAGACGCAGATTTTAAATCACCATACCAAGCATCCAGGATGGCCGAGCTGCCATCTTGCTTAGGGCTGAGGGATGGCTTAGAAGACTTCTCAGACTCCTGTGATTCTGTCACAAGGCTTTGGAGGCGATGGAGACAATGGCTGGCAGTGGAAACCTAGTTTAATGAGGAGGGAAGCTCTACTTAAAAGAAGATATTTAAAATTACAAGGAAAGTGGGATAGAATTCTGTTTATATGTGTAAAGGAAAATTTGTCTTTGTAACAAATATGTCTTGTGTGTATGTAAGCAATTTTAAGAGCAAATTATGCAGTGAATTTAATTAAACAATGGTGTGCATGAGATGCCAGGACTGGGGAAGAAGAGAGAATTACAGCAGGGTTTCCAGCCCTTGTATTGAACTACTACAAGTGTGCCACCTGCCCCCAGGTACTTGCAAAGAAAGTTAATTGACTGGCTTGTTAAAAGAAGACCAAGTGTGTGATACAGAGCCCTGAAATGGAGATAGAAGAAAACAAGAGGGAAGAAAAGTCGAAAGACCAATGACAGAAAGTCAATTCCCAAAAGATTATGGATCATTGCTTTGAATGTGCAGAGCGGGGCGGGGCTGAGGGGGTGCAGACAGTGAGTGAAAGTGGTTGCGAGTGTAGACTCTGAGCCAGCTGCCAGGTTCAGAGCACAGCTCACCATTCCCCAGCTGAGTGAAAGGAGGCAGGTTCCTGTCCCTCTCTGTGCCTCCTTTCCTCAGTTGCAGTAGGGAGGGAGTACCCGCCTCCTCACGTTGTTGGGAGGATAAATGTGTCATTACGGGCTTTGCCCTTCCAGCAGCTCCTGGTACGCAGGAAGCACTCCATAAGGATGAGCCGTTTCTCTCTTCACCAGTTCCCTCCTCGCCTTTGCCAGTTGCAAATATCACCCCCAGTGTGGACTGTGGGCAGCCCACAAATAAACAGGAGGAAGGCCCTTCCTTCCCTTGGGTCCTGGGATCAGGTATGCAGTGGAATTCTGGGTAGAATTCTGTGACATCTAGGTCCCCATCTATCTGTGGGTTACCCCCCTCACACACACTTGTCCTTATTCTAGCACACTTGAAAAATCAATTCCACTTTTAGAGCACGTCAAGCTAGATTTTAGTTTTAGTCTCTCTTACATATTTGAAGTTAGAGCCTCCAGAGTCCATTATGTAAATCTATGCAAAGGATATGCAAAGAGGCGCTAGCCCCAGACTGTGGGGAGGGGAGCAAGCAGGCCAGCACAAAGGGCCTTGAATGAAAATTTGCATCCCGAGTTGAAGGCCTTGTACGGTTATTGTGACAGTGTTCAGTTGTTAACCTTTTGTGCCAAGGAGGAGAGGTAAACTCTTGTCTGATTTCCATATTGAAGGTGACAGGCGAGGTTGAAGGAGAGGTTTGGGCTGTGCAACACTGTAGCAATTTTTATGGAACAAATGAAAAATTGCTTTGAAATAATAACTGTGATGCAGGCTGTGTCCCCAAAACTGTGTGCTCTTGGACAAGTCACTTCACCTCTTCCATTGCCCACTCTGTGAAATGAGGGCACTAGATTCGGTTTCCCCTAGGGCCCCTCTCACCGTGACAGCTAAACGTCTTCCTCCAGGTGGAACCCCTTGCACGCAGCATGGCAGCATCCATTCAGGTACCAAAGGATTACTCTAAAGTCTTGAGAAGAAATGGCTGAGGTGTCATTTTACAGTCCTCCCAGAGAGAAAAAGAAAACTTCAGGGGATGCTGGCAACTGAAAAAAAACAAAAAACAAACTGAAAAAAAACCTGCAGGAGCAGCAAAGGCAAACACGTTTACTCACGTGGTGAGTCTCAAGACAAGGAGGAGCCGGCCATCCACTTCCCAGGTGGGAGGAGTCTAGCCCCTGGACTGCTCCTGGTGGGAATGTCAGGGGAATTTCTTTCCCTGAGCATTTTAAAGACCAGGATGTGTTAACCCCTCTGCCTCTGGAGTGCTACGGAAGTTCTCCTAGAGGCCAAGAAGCTCCTCTCCCACCCCCAGGCCTGTCACTGGCGTCACTAGGGGTCTCTCTGAAAGCTTTGTGTTGCCCTTGATGCTGTTGCCAAAAGATTACTGTGTCCTTGGTCTCTGATCTCTGATTGTAGCGAACACATCTGGTGCTCCACCCCAGGGATCCTCTGGGCCCTTAATTTTAACTCCAGCTGTTGCGGCAGCCACCAGCTGGGCACTCCATAACCTGACAGGCCCTCCACCCAGGGCTGCTCTGACTCAGCCCCGCGCCTCGTGCAGGAGCGAGGACGTGCGGTGGAGTGAGCACCATGCAGCAGCCCTGGGCCAGTTGGGTGGGAGCTGCTGCTAAGTGCCCCTCTCACACGGACAGTTGGAGGTGCCGTCTACTCAGCTCCTTGGGGGTCCCCAGTGAATCTGAGTTGCCCGTTCTTGTCAGCTCGTAACCTGCCCTTGGAGTGATTTTCCCTGTTTCACTCATCTCAGACTCTCATGGCCGTCCCTTCAGATCACTTCCCAGAATAAACCATCTGCACACAGCCCCATCTCCGCCTCTCCTTCTTGGGGCATCTCTGAGGGAGACACTTGTGTCGGTCTGCTCAGGCTGCCGTAACAAAGGACCACAGACGAGGGGTTAAATAACAACGGATGGTTGCCTTCTCACAGTTCAGGAGGCCAGAAGGCCAAGCTTCAGCTGCCAAGAGGATTGGTCTCCCACTGGCTTGCAGAGGGCTGCCTTCTCACCGTGTCCTCTCGTGGCCTTCTGTCTGCAGAGCATCCCTGTGTCTCTCTGTGTGTCCTAATCTCCTCTTCTTCTAAGGACACCAGGCAGATTGGATTCGGGCCACCCTGATAGCTTCATTTTACCTTACTCATCTCTTTAAGGGCCCTGTGTCAAATACAGGCACATTCTGAGGACCTGGAGGTTAGGGCTTCAACATACGCGTTAGGAGGAACACAGTTCAGTCCATAACAATGCTTACATTGAACCAAGGCACTCGTGAGGCAGCAGAGGCTAGTAGAGAATGTCCCTCAGAACGTCAGAGGTCACAAGCACCAGTTCTAAGACTACGTTGTCCCTGTGGTGTTAAGCTGCAGGAGAGGGGCTGAGTAACCCTGAGCCAGTCAGAGCATAGTGGCACGTTGTTGCTTCTGTGGGTGCAACTTACCGTCCTTCTTGTCCCCCTTGTGCATCATCGGTGGTGCTTGACCAGGAAAAGCATGCATTTTGGATACTGCCCTGGTTTCGTATACTTCTGCTGCTTGGGACTTTGAACTTGGTACTTAATCTCCCTGAGCCTCAATTTCCTGCCCCGGCGAATGGCTGTGAGGGTTCAATCAAGTGTGAAAGACTGGGCTGGAACAGGCGCTCAATAAAGTTTTTAGGACTGACCTGAATAAGCAGAGCACACAGTTGATGTATGCTTTAGATCACAAATGAAAGTTTAGAAAGGTAGGTTGGTCTTAGAGATGGTGGGGGCTACAGTCTCTGATCTACAGTCCCTCAGCCTCCCCACACCCACTAATTTGCAAGTGCAGGGTGAGGGGGACGTCAGTCCACTCCGGGACTCCACCCCACACCTAAGTTGGAGGCGGCCCCAGTGGTGCTGCTGGAGATGGCCAGGAAATGATCTCCCCCCTCTGTTCCCGGAAGCTCACCAGAGTCCCTACCCTCTCCTGCCAGCAGCTTGCTGACCATCCCAGACTCCCAGGAATCCCTGCGAGAGCCCTTGCTTTGGCCATGGCCTGGGCAGCCAGCAGCGCTGAAGGAAGGGCATGAGGGTGAGCAGGAGGGGGTAGTGTGAACAAGGAGGAGTTCATAGGTCAGAAGCAGGCCCTAGAGGCTGTTGGGCCCAGCTTTTCCTGGCCCATGTGTTGTACAGGGGTGGCCAGTCTTCCAGTCTATAATCTGAATAGATCTGTACATCTCAGGTGTACGTGAGGTGTTATTTTTAAAGGTAGGTACATGCTGTTGTGTTAATAAGATCCGCACATATTTAGAAGTGTTTTTAAATGTGTAGTTTTTGTCCTTGTGTATTTGCTCGATGAACTAAAGCGTATACAATGACCATCAGGCAAAATCCAGGATTTTCTTGTAGTACTCAAAAGGGCTCCTCCTGCTCAGAAAGGCTGGGCATCACTGGTTCTCCACAGAGAGTTCAGCCTCAGGAGCACCTAGGAAAAGCAGTCAATGCGGACGGCAGCCGTAAACCCGGCTGGCGTTTATGGAGCACGTCTTCTCTTCCAGGCTCTGTGCTCAGTGCTTTACGGGTGCCAGATCTGGTCGCCTGCTCTGGACCTGCCCCCTTCTGCCTGTCACTCTCCAGTGGCACTGACATCTCTGTCTTGTTTGTGCATTTGTGTGAGCTCATCCAGGGCCACATGCCACGCTGTCCCTTTTCGGGTGCTCCAGGGTCGAGGAGAAGGTAGACCCTCCTTAACTGGTTGGTGAGAGGGCCTGAATGAACAGAGGTCTGTCCATTTGTACCTTTGTCTAGTTCATAAGTGGAAGATTCAGCAAAGGCATGGGAGCTGGTCAGCTCTGCCCACCTGAGCCTTCCTCATTTGACTCAGTGGCTCTCACAGAGCTTCCGGCTTCCCTGTAGTCAGGCTGGCCTCGACCACTCCCTGCTGCAGAGGGGCAGCGGGCACTCAGAGGCCCACTCCAGCCCCAGCCTGTTCTCGAAGGTGCCCGTGGGTGAAGGGCTGATAGCATTTCAGAGGCATTTGGGAAGGGGTGGGGCTGGCTGGCTTAGCCAACTGTGGTTCCCAGCCGTGCTGGGTTGCTCCTACCTAATAGACCTGCCGCTCCCTCTCCGCCCCCCCGTGATTCTGGATCTGATAAGTGTCAGGGCAGCAGTGTGGACCTCAAGAATGCTCCTGGTGTTTCCCTTGAGTTCCCGGAGGTTTACAGGCTCATGGATTAGGAAGGCACAGGCTCTGAGCTGTTCCCCGGGTATTTCACCTCTTCTCTCTGTCTCCCTCTCAAGGCTTCCTCCTGATCTTGGCACTGACCGAAGCACTGGTATTTGCTGCCCAGGAACCATCTCCCAGGGAATCTCTTCAGGTCCTCCCTTCAGGCACCACCCCAAGCACTATGGTGACAGCACTGCTCAGCTCTACCAGACACTCATCCGTGGCAGCTGCACCTGCCTCCGTGGTGACACTGACCCTCCATCCCGATGGACCCTTCTCACAGACGGAAGCTCCCACAGCAATGACACCCCATCCAGATGGACACCCTCCTACAAACACCATCTCCACCATCATGGCAACAGCAGCCACCCCCCATTCTGAAGGCCTCCTGCCCACACAGCCCCTTCCTGCTACCATGGCAACCACATCCTCCCACTCAGAGGGCCATCCTCTAGGGAAGGCTGCACCCACCATCCTGCTGACAAAACCAACAGGAGCCACCAGCCACCCCACCACAGCACCGACCCGGGCTACCACGCGCAGGCACCCCAGGCCTCCAGGCTCTTCCCGAAGGGGGGCCGGTAGTTCATTACGCCCTGTCCCGCCTGCACTCAGTGGCCACTCTGGGAGGAAGGAGGGCCAGCGGGCTAGAAATCAGAGCTCCACACATCTGGGGCAGAAGCGGCCCCTGGGGAAAATATTTCAGATTTACAAAGGCAACTTCACAGGGTCTGTGGAGCCTGACTCCTCCACCCTCACCCCCAGGAACCCACTCTGGGATTACTTCTCCTCGCCACAGCCCCAGACAGTGGCCACAATGGCAGCGCCCAGCAGGACCTCGTGGGTACCACCCACTGCCCCCCTGGTGCCTGCAGAGGACAAGCCAGGCCTTAGCACAGCAGACCAGGGGGGTGGTTCCACCTTCACCAGCCAAGGAGTGGAGCTGAACGCCACAGCAGCCTCAGGTGCCCCTGCCAGTCCACAACCTGCCCCAGTGCCTTCTCAGCACCCCCGCGGTGACCCACAGGACAGCCCCAGCCACAGTGACTCCTGGCTTACTGTCACCCCTACCACCAACAGACCTCTGTCTGCCAGCTCTGGCGTCTTCACGGCTGCCACAGGGCCCACCCAGGCTGCCTTCGATGCCAGTGTCTCAGCCCCTTCCAAGGGGATTCCTCAGGGACCATCCTCAACCCCACAGGCCCCAGCGCACCCCCCCGGGGTCTCAGAAAGCACTGTTTCCCAAGCCGAGGAGAAGGCTGCCGCTACCCCCACCATGACCGACAGGGTGCCCAGTCCCCTCTCCACAGTAGTGTCTACAGCCACGGGAAACTTCCTCAACCGCCTGGTCCCTGCCGGGACCTGGAAGCCTGGAACAGCGGCGAACATCTCCCACGTGGCTGAAGGGGATAAACCCCAGCACAGAGCCACCATCTGCCTGAGCAAGATGGACATCGCCTGGGTGATCCTGGCCATCAGCGTGCCCATCTCCTCCTGCTGTAAGTGCCTTGCCCTGTCCCCCTCCTCCCTCCCCTCCTTCCTCTCCCACGTCAGCCAGCCCCAGAGTTGGGCAGTCCCCACCAGGTGGGCTGCAGAACTTCCCAGAATCCCGAGAAACAAGGTGGCAGGACAAGAATCATGGGTTATCCCTACCCCTAGTCCTGGGGTCTGCCGCTGCGGCTCAGATGCCCACTGCTCGTGAAGGCGCAACTCCCAGGAGCTGGGAGAACCTTCAGGTTCTGCAGAAAGAGACACCAAGCTGGAGCGGTGACATGGCTCACCCGGGACCCCGGGGTTAGGGAGAGGCAGGGCTGGGATGAGAGCTCGAAGAATCTGTCTCCCAGCCCGGTGCTCCTGTCCTGACACCACCCTGCCCCACTCACCCTCAGGGGTAGCCTGCCAGTGCCTGTAACAACGTGGCACCAAGACACCAGCAGTGAGAGTCGTCACTTCCTAATGTACGGCCGCCAAGGAGCAGAGCCCTCACCTGCCTCTCCTACTTCACTCCCATCTTCCTTCCTATCTTTACTCCCCTCCTTCATCTCTCCTCCTCCTCTCTCTTCCCCCAAGAGGGAAGAAGAGATGAAGCTTTGGTCTTGCAGGAAGTTCTGTTAGCCTTGGCAAAACAGTTCTTGTAGCCAAGTTGAGGCTTGAGAGTTCCCTGTGGATTTAGCTGCTCCCTGCCACCTCCCCCACTTGTCCTTGTTCCTGCAGGGTGTGAGCTGGTTGCAGTGTGGGCCTCATCTTCATCTTTGGCCTCCAGAGGTGTTGGTGGAAAAGGGCTCTCCCCAGGCCGCCAGCACCTGTCTGTCCCTCCTTTACTAGGGATCAGGAGACTGTCTCCCTGACAACTCCATCAAGGTCCTGGTGTGGCCGCTTGGACCTTAGGCTTCCGTCATCTTCCCCGTGTACTTGCTCCTAGGTTCTTAGAGTTTCTCGACCTCAGCCCCGCCCCACCCCGCACGGGTGTCATCCAGCCTCCCTCTGGACCTTCCAGGGGTGAGACAGCTTCTGTGCTCCTCGCTCATCAGATAGCCCATTCTAGAAGCAGCCCCTCAGGTTGTTACCAGCTCTCTTGGGGGCCTGACATTTGCCTGCTTGTAATTTCCACTCTGTGGCCCTAAGCCATGCCTTCCAAAACCAAACAAAACAAGTCCATCTGCTACCCCTTGAAACATTGGAAAAGGCTCTCAAGGGCAGTCTTCTCCTTCTCTGAGCTTCTCATCCCTCCCCTTCAGGTCTCTTCATAGCCCCATTGCCTGGCCCTGCCCCGCCATCTGCCCCTTTGGATGGCCTCCACTTTGTCCTGCTCCCCCAGAAGGGAGCGCACAATGCACACCTGCCTGGCCCTGGCAGAGGAGAGCGGATGGTGGCTCCCTTGTTCTGGACACTGTGGGCACATTCGGGCGGCCTGCACTGGCATCAGCTCCGTTGGTTGTGCTGACTGTCACGTCACCATGGGCTCACCCTGACCTCCAGAGGAGCAAAGCCCCAGAGGCTCTGCACAGAGGAGGCTGTGGAGCCGGGTCCACCAGGCTTCCTCCCGCATCGGGCCGTGTACACGTTAGTGCAGAAGGCGTGTGCCTGGAACGTGAACGCGATTTCTCCTCACCATTGTGCTCCAAGATCTTTCTAATCTGGAGTCTGGATTCGTTCCAGGAGCCACCTCTCCCAGCTTTCTGTCTCCTTCTAGTTGATAAGCAAAGCAAACGTCCCATGTCAGGGATGGATGAGTGGAAATGTTTGCAGGCTGCATGTTTCATTCTTTCATTAAGCAGCTTTATTGTCTCTCATGGAAACTTTTTGTTCCTAAAACTTTGCCCACTTCTAAAACAGAAGAATGATAATGAGAAAATGTAGCACTATTAGCCAATAAATTATTAATAATGGTCATATTTGAGAAATAACCACATTAGAGACAGCTTTCTAATTTTCCATTCTTTACATGAGTCTAAAGGCTCTAGTTTATGATGTGAATTCCCATTATTTTTAATCATTCCATCATTAAAACAGACTAGTCAGAGGAATAAAATAAAAACAGAAAAAGCAGGGGCTGGCCCAGTGGCATAGTGGTTAAGTTCAGTGCCCTCTGCTTCAGTGGCCCGGGGTTCACGGGTTCAGATCTCAGGCTGGGACCCACACCACTCATCAGCCATGCTGTGGCAGCAACACACATATAAAGTGGAGGGAGATTGGCACAGATGTTAGCTCAGGGCTAATCTTCCTCAGCAAAAGAAAAAAAAAACAGAAAAAGCAAAAACACTGTGCAAGGAACACACCTTACAGATGGGGGCATAAGTCGCCAGGTGAAGTGACTTGCCCAGGGTCCCCATCACACAGGAATCAGCCCACATCTGGTGGTAGAGTCTGTTTGTCTGATTCAACACATTATTTCGTGAGCACCCATTGTGTGCCAGGCACTGTGCCAAGCACTAGGAGCAGGGATGTGTGATGTGGCTCCCTCCACAACATCTGGAGCCCTCTCCTTACCTGGGCCTCCCTCTTGGCCTGGGCCAGTCAGCACAGAGCACACAGGCCACACCCACCTGGGTTTGCAATTCTAAAAAGACTTCTCCAGCCCTTTGCTATGTAAGAGTTTGAAATCAGATCAGATCTTACTGCAAAGCTGGAAAACCCATGGGCTGCCGAAATCATGCATAATAATGTCAGCCAGGAGAGAAGCACGGACACAGACTGGACCTGCACCTCGAGAATGCTGCTGGCACTCTGACAGGAGCTGCAGGCACTGGGACAGAAAATATTCCTGTGTAAAGGATGATAGGAACCTTTCTTCAAAGTGGACTGTTAGCCTCTGGGAACCCGGACCCCACTTCCTTTGGCGTCTGTCTTGCATTTCCCCCATCCACATGGGAGGCTCCCCTAAGCCATCACTCACCCAGGTTCCTGCTTCAGCCCTGGCCGTCTCCACTTCCAGCTCCCTGTCCTCTGTCATGGCCCCCTCTCCTCTGAAGGCCCCTAAAGGAGGGACATTAAGATAACAGAATACTTCTTCACCACGCTGTGCTCTTTCAAAGTACAGAGGAGTAAATGCTCGGGCTGTTTTCATAACCCAGCCCCACTCTAGCCATCAGCTGGGCAGACTCTTCCAGGTCTAAGGGCCCCATATTTCAGACCTTCCCTGCCGCCACATTTATCCTAGCGCTCACTCTGCAGCCCTCAGAGAAGGGTGTCATCCTCTGCCTGTTTGCGAGGCAGTTCAGGCAGTCTAGGCTGGTAGCAAAGCGCACGCATAGGTTTCCTCACAGCTGGCTTTTCAGACCAGCCCTGGCCCTGCTCTTCTCCATCCGCCAGAAGCCCGACTTCAGAAGGCCAGGACTGCTGGGCAGGTGGGTGAATCGCTGCTTCTGGGGGAAGCAGGGGTGATCATAGCAAATCTCAGGGCTGCTCAAGAAGGGGTGTCAGCAGTTCCACCTGCCCGTCCAGAGCGTGCGCTGCACCCAACAGCTGGAAGGGTACATGTGCCAGGACTGGAAATGCCTCGTCTCCTGAGCCACGCCAGAGACAGCCACACATTCTCAGCTGTGCTGAGGACCAAAATTGATTGGATCCAGGCCACCTTCAGCTGGAGCAGGGACCATGTGGCTCCTGAGCTGGTCTCTGCTGCCACCATCAGGACACACAGAGCTCACCACCTCCTGCTAGAAGCCTCTGGGCCTGGCACTGAATTGGTCCTCACTCACGGCTGTCAGGGCTGAGTTTTCACCAGGAGGTCAGTTTTGTGGCTCTCCCAGGCTCCCTGGCAAGTCCTGCACAAACCCATCAATTCTTGAGAATGTCTTCACTCAGCCTCCCTGAAGAAGACCGGGGCTTCGTGGAGGATGAGAGCAGGCTACAGGGCCAGCTGCAGATGTTTTCAGCAAGCCAAGCTGAGCCTGGCCGAAGCAGAGTAGCAGCTCTCGCTGACCCTGGACTCGTGAAGGTGCAGGTGCACCTTGCCCTAGAGCAGTCTGGCTTCCTTCCAGATATACGGTCTAGGCCCTTGGCATATCAGGGCAGCATTCAGGGAGAGAACATATCCTTGTGCCCACACAGTTCTTGGCCGTATTAATCTGTGAATGTTAGTCAAGTCTGAATGTACATATGTGCCTTTTACTCACAGTCCTGAAATGACTTTGTAGTTATCATATAAGAAAACCTCGGTCAGAGTTCGCTTTGCAGTGAAAAGAGTAGAAGAGAGTGGGACCAGAAGGAAGTGTGACCAGAAGCTTTGTCTCCTTGGGGCTTATGAACCAGTTGGAAGAGGACAGGGAGAAGCAGGACAAGGCAGGGTTGTCCAGGGGACATCACCTCAGCTGCACCAGTGTGTGGTGCCCAAGCTTTCACAGCTCTTCTCTGTGTTTTCCAACCAGTGCGCCCTGCTGGGAACCTCGCTGGGCTTTTTCAGGCATATTCCCACCCACCAGGCTGGGGAGCCAGACCATAAGCCTCCAAACCTGGTTTCCCCGGCCCGTGGCCTTGTGTCCAGCCTGGCCTCCTTCCATACCGTGAGACCTCCGCTGGGCCTCCTTCCCGAACCTCCAAAGGGGGGAGTGATTGTCCATAGCCTGGCTCTCCCCTCGAGTTGGCACCACTGAACTGAGTAGTTTCTCCCACTGCCGGAGGATCTCAGGTTTCTCATCTACAGAATGAGGGGCCACACTGAAATGTGTCAGAGCTGCCTGTCCCCTCTAACTCTCCTAGCTTCAAACCTGCATGAATCGCTAGAGAGGAAGCCTGGTGTGATCGCAGCACTTCGCCTGGGAGTCAGACACACCTGGACGTCATCCCAGCTCTGCCACTTGTCACCTGTGGGACTTGGACATATCAACATTGGTCCAATGTTTTCTTACCTGTGAAAGGAGAACTGATGCCCACGTGTTAGTTCAGGGCCTCCAGGAGGCAGACACCGGAACAGGGTTAGGCCTGCAAGAGATTTATTGGCAAAAACCTGGGAGGGATAAAGGACGGGACTGGGGTAGGCAGGGAGAGCCCAGACTGCAGTGCAGGTCTGACACCTGTGGGACGAGACAGGGAGGGACAGAGGACTGGGAGGGAAGAGTCTCGGGCTGCAGTGCAGTTCTGGGAGGGTTTCTGACAGGCCGATGAGAGTCCTCAGGCCAGTAGAGGAGCCTCTTGTCCTGCAGGCCCAGGCTGCACTCGTACCCCTGCTGCATCAGTCGTGGCTGGGAGCCACCCAGGACACGTGGCCTTGCACATATGTGGTGGTGGCTCCAGAGGGGCAGCAGCTGGGCCTGTCCCTAGGCTGTGCTCGCTGCAGCAGGAGATCTGAGCGGCATTTTCCCGGCTGCAGCACCACCCCAAAGACTGTTGTGGAAATCAGGGATGATGCCTCTAAGGTGCTGTCACAGTTCTGCCCTGGGGACGGGGCTCAGTAAAGGGCAGTGGTCACATGGTGATGTTCTTCCTCTCACTATGGTTAGGATTTGCTCCGCATTCTCAGGCCATGGAGTGAGCACTTTTAGCAGGTGTTTGAAAAGGTTGATCCTCAGGGGACCTGTAGGGTTTCATTTCCACTTCCCCTCACACAGCGGGTCCCAGCCCTGGAATCATGCCCCTCCCAGAAATGTCAGCACCGTGCCCAGGGCTCCATCTTAAAATCAGTGGCCCTCCCCCTCCCTGTCATACATCTGACAGCGGATGGGCCCACGGATGGTTTCCCACCGGCGTTCCTGGGGGAGCCCAGGGGCTTGCTCAGTTCTCACTCCAGTTTTAACACTTAGGAAGTAGAGATCCCGTCACCCTCTTCTGGAGTCTGGACAGCTGTTGCCCTTGTAGAAATGGAGCAGCTGAAGCTTTCAATTAGATCAGAAAGGGGTGTGTGTGCACCTTGTGTTCGCAGAGAGCTGTGTGGTTGACAGAGTGTGCCCACGTGCCCGAGGCACAGTGCCTCCAGGGTTCAGGATGGTCCAGGACAGCGAGCGTCAACCTGAGGGTCACAGAGAGCTGGTCAAGTTCCAGCAATCAGCTGGTGGTCGGATCAATTCTGTTAACTTCCATGAGTTTCAGTCGCCTCTTCTGTAAATGGGGAGAGTACCAGGGCTTTCCTCGGGCAGTGCTTTTGTGGGTTCAATCAGGCTGTAAAATGCCTGGGTCAGCACCGGGAAAGGGTTAGAGACTCCGTATGCCTGAGTTACACTTTTCTTTCCAAGAAGAAAGGTCAGACCACTGAAATAATGACAGTTCTAAACCGCAGGTGCAGCCTTGGCCTTGAGCCAGCCAGCCGTCATGCAGCCCAGGTTTTCTTCTAGATCTCTCTTGTGGAGGATGCTGGCAGAACAAGAAGAAAACTATTAATTGAGCGTCAGGCGGTGCACTCGGCATTTTGCATGATGTCCGTAACTCTCGTTACAGCGCGTGAAGTCGACAGTGATCAGCGTGATGAAGAGACTTACGTAGTGTAACACACCAGAGCCAGGCTTGAGCCAGGTCTTCTGGACTCCACGCCGTGCTCTTCCTATAGCCAGGCTGGCTCCTAGGATGTCAGTGAGATGGCATTTGAGAGGCACTGGGAGCTCCCTGAGAGAAATGTAATCAGGCCGGGAGCACTAACAACATGTGGGAGGAGAAAGCTAGGAGCAGAACTCCCTGTCTGACCCCCAGGCCATCCCGCCTCAACGCCCGCGCTTCCTGCAGGGCAGGATCCTGGTCCTGTGTCCTGAGCAGGCCCGGGCTCCAGAGCCAGGGTCACTGTGGGCTTAGAGGGAGCACTGCACTGGGGGTCAGAGGACCTGGATCCTGCGACCCACACCAGCCCAGGTTCGCAGCTGGGCTCACTGCAGCCTCGCCCTCTCTTTATGGCTTCTGTTTCACCAGCTTGAGGTCCCCCCAGGCTGTTTCACTATCCCAGTTCCAGGAGCAGAGTGGAAACGTAGTGACAGTGAAGAATAAAGACACCAGAAAGGGGGAGGCAGAACCTGGGGTCTCGCCCCAGCCCTGCCGCTCTCTGACCTGTGCTGTGGCGAGTCATCTGGGTTCTTTGCACCGTAGTCTTCTCACCCGCAGAATAAGGCGCTGCCCTGAATTAGCAGATTTCCAGGCTGAGCTCTGCAGCCCTCCCTTCACCCCTGTTCCTCCTCCAAACAGTTGAAGAAAGGGCTCTTTGGAAGGAAGCGAGGAGACCCACAAAATCTGAAAAAGTCTATACCAGCCAGTCTAAAATTCCTTTTAGCTCAAACATTTAGAAATCTCCTTTATATTTTTTAAACTTTTTTAAGGGACCTGGGAAGAGTGGTAAGCCAATTAGAAGTCTCTGATCACAGCAGATCAGATGGAATGCAAACTTGACTCATCTCTTGACCTTGTCAAGAGGCCTTTTCAGGTTGAGACGCCAACAAGGCCAGTGGCTGGGAAGAGAGCTACAGAATCCCTCCATCAGCGCTCAGGGGCTGGAGCATGGGCCCTGAGGTCCCAGCCTGTGTGGGCGCCAGCTTTTGCAGCTACCCCACACCCTGGAGTGCACAGGCCCCCCATGCTGGCCAAACCCTCAGGTGGGTGTGAGCAGAGTGGCCCTCTGCTGCCCCCTAGTGGCCATTGCCATCATGGTGCTGGCCTCCAAGCACTGCTCAACCTGGGGCTCCCTCTCCCTAGCACCAGTGGTTGGCACCTCCGGGATGGCGAGTGTAGCCCTGCCCACCCCTGGCCTGGAGTTTCAGCCAGCCTGCAGGGTCTGGTGATCGTGAGCCTGGGCAGGAGATGCCTAGTCTTCATGTACTGGCTTCTCCCTGGGAGGGCTCCAGTCCCTCTTGTCACTGTATCGCCTGTTCCACTGTGTGAGCCTGGACAGGCCTCCCACCTCTCCTACCTCAGAAGGCTTCCCTGTCAGGATGCTCCAGCCCCTCTGTTCACACCTGGGTCATCAGCAACATCCAGACGTGCTCCTCACTCCCTGGGGCCCCACGAGGCTCCGAGATTGAACAGACAGGCTTGCAGGTCAAGCCGTGAGGAGCCCTGACCAGGCCCGTCTGTGCAGTGAGGCTGCTGATGGTTAAGAGCATAGACTTTGGAGTCCAGATGTCTGGGCTGCTCTTGGGCAAGTCACTCTACCTCTCGGAGTCTGTTTTCCTGTCTGTACTGGAAGATTAAATGAATTAACGTTCCTAAACCGCTTGGAACCCTGCCTGGCAGCCTGGCACATAAACGCTGTATAACTGCTAGAGGCTTTTTTTTTTTTTTTGACGATGATGATGATGCCAGAGCAGCTGTTTTATCAGGTCCAAGACCTCCGCCCAACAACTTGTCTGCCATCGAGGCCCTCTGTGGAAATCAGGGCTCATTTGTGGAGGTCACTGGGCTCTGCCCCCCGTTTCTGCCACACGCCCGCTCTGAGAACTCTCCTTGTCAGTCCAGCAGTGCAACTGAGAGAACGCGCACCTGTCCCTGCACCAAGCTCTGGGAGCCCTCCCACTGAACGAGCAAGGCCTTTTCTTGGAGCAAACTCGAGGGGCACTGCAGCATCCACAGTTTTCCGAAATGACATCCAGGCCTCTTGCTCCTAAGCCCTGTGGATACAGCCTCTCAAGTCCACTCTGGCCCCATCTCCTACCTCACTCCCCCATGCTCACTCTACTGCCGCCATGCTACTCTTTTCTCACACATGTCAAGATTGACCCCACCTCAGGCCCTTTGCACATGCTGTTCTCTGCCTGGAACACACAGTCCCTCTGTTCTGCATGTGGCAGCTCCTTCCCCATACCCTATTCTCAGCTCTGAGGTCACCCCCTTGGGGAAGCCTTTCATGACTACTCTAATGCAGTCTCTGGCCCATTCTCACCATTGTCTCTCTCACTTCACCCTGTCTTGTTTTCTTTGAACAGCTGTCACTATCTGAATTTACCTCATTTGTTCATTTTGCCTGTCACTTATGTATCATCTAACCCCGTCTGCAGCCTTCCACACACAGGATGGAAGCTTGTGAAACAGGGCAGCCTTGGCTTGTCCTTCACACCCTGTCTCCCCAGCACCTGGCACAAAGTAGGCCCTCAACATAGATAGATTATTGCTGAATGAACAATTGAATGAATGAATGGGTAGGAGGCTGAATGTATGACCTTCACAGCACCCCCACCCCGCCCAGATACGCGCCCGTCACTCAGCAGTGCGGGCCCCCTGCTTGCCGCCTCCCTCCCTGTCTCTCTAACTTGGGCTCTCCCCACAGCTGTCTTGCTGACCGTGTGCTGCCTGAGGAGGAAGAAGAAGACGGCCAACCCAGAGAACAACCTGAGCTACTGGAACAACGCCATCACCATGGACTACTTCAACAAGCACGCCGTGGAGTTACCGCGGGAGATCCAGTCCCTGGAAACCTCTGAGGTAACGAGCCCCAACCCAAGGGTGCCCTGGAACTGCTGGCCCCACTGCGGGGACAAGCACAGGCTCCAGCGAGGGCTGGGGAGCATCTGCTCACCTCCTAGGGCCTTGCTCCACAGAGCGTGGTCCACGGGCCAGCAGCCACAGCCCCAGGAGTCTGCAGGCCCCACTGCAGCCCACTGAATCAGGATGTGCATGTTCGCAAGAACGCCCAGTGCCTTGAGCACGTGTTAAGGTTTGGGAAGCACTGTTCTTGGGACTCCATGTTTCTGGGAACAAGTCAGCAAGCATTCATTGAGGACCCGTTGTGTGGTAGGCACTGTCTGGGGACTGTGAAGATGAGAGCTTGCTCTCAAGGGGCCCAGGTTCCAAGGTGTGGCTGAGGTATGAACCCCAAGCATCATTCAAAAGCAAAACAAACCAGGAGAGAGAGAAGAAGAGTTGCAGAGAGCTGTGGAAACCCATCGAGGAAAGCTGTCCCAGTGGAGGTGCTGGAAGGACAGATGGATCTTGACAGGCATTCCAGCAAAGGAAGTAGCCCAGCTCAGGGGGAGATGTGGGCTGGCCGTGGCATGTCACAGGAGGGAAGAGTACATCGGCTCAGGACGCGTTTGCCCAAAACACCTGACTGGCCAGTGAGCGAGCTGAACTCTGAACCCAGGTCTCTGTGACCATGGAGTCCATGCTCTGTCCACTCTCACACAGAGGTGGGGCGGGGGCCAGGGAGCGGCAGGAAAGGTAGATGGACCAGGCACGGCCTTGGATGGGTTGAGTGGAGTTTGTATTTTAGTCTTGGGCAGCAGAAGATCATTGAAAGTTTTGAGTCTTGTGTGACCTAGTTTAAAAGATTGTGCTGATGGCCTGGGGCAGGCGCTCTATACGTGATCAGTGAATGGACAGGAAGGAAAGGAAGGGTGGTTTAATGGACGGATGAATAGGTGGGAGGACAGACAGAAAGACAGACGAGAAATGAGTAGGTCAACTGAGATGCAATTGAGATGTCCCGGGAGAAAGATGGCAGATATCTGAGTAAAGGCAGTGAGAGTTGCGAAGAGTTCTTCTCGAGGTATGGTCCCCACTTCCCCTGCAGATCCGTCCCCCACAGCAGCCAGGGTGAGCTTTGATGAACATAAATGTGATCACACCAGTCCCATGCCCAAAACCCTTCGGTCGCTTCCTGTTGATCCCAAGTTACAGTTCAGAGTCTTTTACAGGGCCTGTGAGGCGGACCTGGCCCCGCCCAACTTTCCAGCCTCATGTCATACCCCACTCCCCATTTGCTAAGTGCTAGCCACATTGGATTTCTTTTCGTTCCTTTGCTGCACCAAGTTCCCTCCTACTCCAGGGCTGTGCATGAGCTGTTCCCTCTCCTGAATGTCTTCTGTCCCTCCCTAGCGCCGCCTTCACTTGTTCCCCTCTGTGACTCGCACCCATCATGCAGGCCCAGTCTCACGGTCACTTCCTCAGAAGGGCCTTCCCTGACCTGCCGGGCTGGGTTCGGCTTTTCTCGCTTATGGTCTCAGTTCCTTACACTTTTCCATCATGGCACTTGTCCAAGTTGTAATTTTGAAGCTACTGGTCTGATATTAGTTTAATATCTCTCCGCCCCACTAGAATAACCGGTGCCTCTGCATTACTAAACCCAGGGGTCAATTCCAAGCCCTCATCTTACTCCATCCACCAGCAGCACCGGCACACTCGATCCTTTCCTCCTCAAAACGATTCTCCCTGGCATCAGGGCCCTGTCCTGTCATGGTTCCCCCCCACCTCCCAGCACCTCCTTCTCAACCCCCACCACTGGTTCCCTGTCCTTTCCCTGACCTCTAATCACTGGGGTGCCCAGGCCAGTCCTCCCACTGCCTCTCTTCTCTTTCTGCTTAGCTCCGTGACCTTAAATACCATCTCCACACCGTTGATCACCAAGTTCTACTCTAGCCTTGATGTCTCCCCTGAACTCCAGACTCATAGGCCCAGCTCCTACTGTGCATGTCTAAGGGGCATCTCAGATTCAGCGTGCCCAGGATTGAGTTCTTGACTCCCCCCCAAACACCCAAGCTCACCTGGCATTTTCGTAATGTAAATGGCACTGCCGGGTGCCTTCTCCTCTCACGCACCGCACATCCAGTCTGGCAGCAGGTCCCGCTGGTTATTCCTACACACGAGCACTTCCCGCCACCTGGATTGCTGCCCACCTCGTCCAAGCCGCCATTGTCCCTCACACCGCGGATTGCTGTGGGAGCGTCTGGAAGCAGGACTCCCCGCGCCCGTCTTGCCTCCCGCAGTCTGTCCTCCACACAGAAGCCAGATGATCTTTTCAAGGCAGGACCTCATGTCAGCCATGGCCCCCAACCCTCAAATGGCTCCTCTTCCAATTCAAATCCAGATTCTTCTTACCAGACCCTTCCTGGGCTGGCCCCTGCCCACCTCTCTGACCCCCTCCTGCCAGAGTGCCCATTGGTCACACGCTCACTTGAGCCACACTGGCCTTTCTGCTTTTCCTCCAACACAGTGAGCGTGTCCCACATTAGAGCTTTGCTCTGGCGCCTATCTGAAGCGCTCTTCTCCTGACTGCCCCTGTCCCTCACGCCCTTCAGGTCTCTGTTCCAGGGCCACCTCCTCAGGGAGCCTTCCCTGACTGCTCCACACATTAGACACCCACCCTCCCTGCCATGATCCTGAACCCCTTCCCTGCTTTATTTCCCTTCCGAGCACGTCTCTCCGCCTGACAGTGCACACTGTCTCTGGTGACTGGTTCGTTGTCTGTCTCCCCTGCTGGAACATGAGCAGCCTGAGGACAAGAACCTTGTTGTTCTGCTCCCCGCTCTGTGCCAGCCCCTAGAACGTGCGCAGCATATGGGTGGCACTTGGTCAGTGTTTGTCACATAGGTTTGGTTCCCGGTTTCCCCATCACCCAGCCCAAAGCCTATCACCAGTGGAGACTCAATAAAAAGTTGTCAGTGAAGAACAGACAGAGGGACAGGCTGCATGAAGGCCGTGACCTTTAGTATGGTCAGTGCACGGAGAGCAAAAGTCTTCCTATTACAGCCAGTGAAAAAATGGGCAGCTTGGCAAAGGGGCTGGCCCTGCTCTGAGTGTGGGGTGTGAGCCCCGACTCTGCGTTTCTCATCTTCTCTTGACAAATTGATAAATGAGAACCAAAGCTGCAGGACGGTGCCTGTGAGCGTCTGTAGAAAGGGCCCAGTTAGTCCTTCTGGCCCAGACCTCCAGGGCCACCGTCACACGCAAGCCAGAGGCTCAGGCCGAGGGGCGGCCCGGCCAGTCCACCCCAGGAGCAGGTTGCGGTGGAACCAGCAGCGCGAGGCTTCAGCGTGGGTTTCGTGCCTCTTCCCCTCCCGCAGGTCTGCTCCCCTCCCTCTGCTTTACTGATAGTGATCCTAGTTGCTCCAGCTCTGGGCCCATGCAGGGACTGCAGACCACCCAGAGAGGGACACCGGTCACGTCACGGGGCGTGTCCCCCGCCGCAGGCCCGTCCTGGACTGGCCGCGCTCTCCGCCTGCGCTGTAGCTGCCGAGAACCTTGCGCCCCGCTCCCCTTCCAGCTGATGGAAGCGGCAAAACCCAAACCCGCTGCACGGGTGAACGGTGATGCCCAGGAGGTGCTGGGAAGCTCCGTGCTGCCTTTTTCCCCTCCCCTCCTCATTTTTTCTTCTTCATTTCTTGTCTGATTTTCTAAATAACCTCCTATTTTTCACGCAGTGACACATCCCCACATGGTTCACGCCTGGTGAACACTCGCTTTGTGAGAACTATAAGACAGCAACCCAGACCTCAGCCTCCAGAATTCCCCTCCACGGCTCAACCCAGAGCCCAGGGCAGCGGGAGGATGTCTGTCCCCTCGCGGACGCCTGCCCTGTGCTCCGTACTCAGGGCTGCTCCGTGGCCACCCCACCGATGGGCGCTCCGCGAATCCAGACGTTGAGGGAAATTCTCTTCTGGAAAGACATTTTACCAACAAATGGCCTTTCTTCCTTTCTCTCCTTATTAGCCATAAAGCAATATGTACTCCTCAAAAATTGTGTATGTTTTGTTTAAAACTAAACCTCAGAGAATCAATTGTGGCTTCTTAAAGTGAAGGTGTTTCTAAGCAAGTCGGGCCCAAGGCAGTTAGACCTGGGCCTGCAGGTTCTGAGCCTTCGGTTGTTTAGAATTGGAGCAAACTGTGACTTTTTTCCCTAAATTTGTACCTGGGCCTGAGTGTGAGCACAGCCCTTTCATGGCCCACAAATACTTGCAGTCCTTGGTAGCTGGGGCCAAAGCCATTCAGATGACCTGAGCAGGGGAGCACCTGTTTCTAGGCTTTTCCACTGCTGGGGCTGTGTAGACAGACTGAATTTTTCACTTCCCACCTGTTGTGTAGTCACACACAGATTCAGATCTGTTCAGCTCAGCACATCTAGTGTACCAGAAATGGGGTGAGAATTCCGACCAGGCTCTGGGAGGACTGGGAGGGGAGGAGTTAGCGCCCGGAAGCTCCGACAGTCGACAGTCGGTGGCAGGAGAGGAAAGGGGTGGGCAGTGTCGGGTGTTTTCCAGGGAGGAAAAGCAGCCAGGTCTCCCAGGGAGCGGCAGAAAGGAGAATCTGGGGCCCAAATGGACCAGGTTTTGCCCACTAGGGCAGTGAGCCATGTGCTGTGTATGTCGCGCTTGGCGAGGCCTCTCGGACTTTTACCAGGAGAGCGATGCCATCTCTGGCACCCTGAGGTGGGGCTGATTCAGGAGGCAGGAAATCCTTTTCAGAAGCGGCTTTGAAAATCTGAAAGAAGAGCAGAGAGGGCGCTGCACCTCAGCGTTGGCAGTGAGGATGATGAAAAACGCTTACCGAGCAATCCCATGTGGAAATAAATGCCGCCTCCTGACCCCCCCAGCTCACAGCATCTCCTCCCTCTCTCTCCCCAGGACCAGCTCTCAGAGCCCCGCTCCCCAGCCAACGGCGACTACAGAGACACGGGGATGGTCCTCGTTAACCCCTTCTGCCAGGAAACGCTGTTCGTGGGAACCGACCAAGTCTCGGAGATCTAAGGGCCGCAGCCCCCGCTTCGCCAGTCCCTCCTGTCCACCTCCAAATTATAAATATACACATATATATGATAAATGTAATCTTTGTGTAACCCTGACTTAATGAGAAACATTTTCAGCTTTTTTTTCCTGAGAATTGTCAACATCTTTTTTATAAGTGTGGTTTAAAAAACACTTTACAGAACAACCCTTGGCTTTATAAAATAAAGTCTTTCTAAGCAAAGCGGTTGGCATTCATTGCTTCTCTTCCTGACTGTCCGTGAGCCCCTGGGGTTCCCAGCAGCCCCGGGCAGGTAAGGGAAGAGACTGGCCTGCAGAACTGGACTGTCCAGATGGTCACGTGCACGGCCCCTGAGTGCTGCTGAAAGCTCTGGTGCCTCCTGACTTGGTGTCACCCCACTTCCCCTCCGCCTCGCACTGGTGAGGGGAACTGGGCCACCTGGGGGGAGACGGCACTCACGCACGGAGCAGGACAAGGGGACATCTCAGCACCGCCGAAGAAGAGTGATGTCACAACGGCACCACGGTCAAGTGTGATTCCGGCCGAGTTGCAGGCGGCGGGCAGGAGCATGCAGCCCCCGGAATCCATGGAGGCTGTGAGGCACCTGAGGCCACGTCCCCCGCACTTCACAGGACAGGGAGCTCCTGCCATGCTGACAGGACTGCCTTTCCCCGAGATAGAAGGCTCCCCCTTAAGCACACGCCTGCATCCTCTCCAACACCCACATCTGCATTACACGTGCCTTCCTCTGGAGAGGGTTTAGACGGGGCTGCGGCCCTGGAGCCTGAGAACGCTCGCCCGTCTTCGAGCCCATCTTCGAGGAGCAAATGTCTATTGGGGAGCAGCTTTGTTTTCTCAACAGGCCATCGCTCGGTGCCCCGGAGGAACGTGTCTATGTAGAAGCCTTGAGGCGTGGAGCCGTCATTTTGAAACCTTCCTCCAGCGATCTTAAAAAAACAAGATCGCCAAAGCAGGTCGCTCCAGAGAAGACATCCTCTCTCCCTCCTCAGTTGCAGACCTGCTTGGGGGGCAGCCGGTGGCCCTGCCATCCCGCTCTCATGTCCCGTCTGCCCAACCTGCGCCCTTCCTCGGGGTCAGCCGATGCTCCCCCGGTCCCGTGCTGCGTCCAGCTTGGCCCATGGGTCAGACCCTCCAAGACGCAAGTCGGGCTCCAGAGATGGCTGCTGCTCCATTTTTCCCCTACCAGGTGGTGGCTGGGAGAGAAGACGACTGCTCTGACACTTCCTTTCTCTAAAAGAAAAATAGTTTGATAGTATATTTTGAATATAAATGTTCTTCTAGTTGGATTGGGAATTGAACTTGAATGTCAATTCATATGTTCGTGTCGTTTCCGTGGTGTTTTTATCATGACTTTTTCCTTTCTTGCTACATTTTCCTTTAAAAAAAAAAAGATGGCCTTCAAAACTGTCTGTTGTCAATGTTGTACGAACCTACTTAACGTGAGCTCAGCTGTTGTCTCTTCGAAGGCTCTTCAGCCCACGAAGAAGCAGGTGAAGTGTTGCTCTGAGATTCCGTTTCCAGTGTGCTGTCTGACCTTTGAACCTTATCATAATATTTCTGTCAGCTCTCGCATTTAGTATACCAATGTGTGTGTGTATAAATATAAAGAAATCTGTTTGTAAAGTAAATTTATATATAGCATATGTAATCAAAGATACATATGTTATATATACACATACGTGGATGTATGACTTATTTTTCCTTATCCACAGAATTCAGCTACCGTGTATATATAAATAAACTTATTTTATTAGCCAGAGCATCAAGTTGCTAATACATTTTGCATTCTTTTTATTTTAAAATAACTATTAAGTCTTCCTTTCGTACCAACACCACCCATGTCCATCTGTATTTTGTAATCCATTTTTAACAGCAAGGGGTTTTATGAGCAGGATGGGCTAATAGGATTAGCAATTTATCATTTGATGAATCCTTTAGAACACGTTTGTGATTTCTCCAAAAGAGAGTCATCTCTCTTCAGGTCTTCGGAGACGTTGGTGACAATTAGGGCGCATCCCCTCCTCATCCTCCATCTCCGGCCTCAGGGCATTATTGTAAATATCTTTGCATCAGAGGAATCTGAAGTTAATCTGGCCACTGAGTGTCACCATTCTGTAGAGAATAACAGTGCCTAAACATGACACCTGTGCAAACGACTTCATCTGTAGCTCGAGCCCTCCATTTAGCCTTGGACGATCCCTGCTGGAATTCCTGCCGCTCCTCGGGGCCCAGTCAGCGTCACCTGTGTTGGGAGGATGTTGTTAGAACAGTCTTGTGGGCGCCGGGGGTCATTCAGGCTGCACCAGAGGTGGTGGTCGCAGCAAGAAGGCTACGCTAAATAAACAAGGGACACTGCCAGCCTTTACTCGATCAAGTTGATTCCTTAATCTGTTAATCATATAACCAACATTGATATTTATAAAGGAGCTTCATCTAAAATAGACAAAGTAGAAAAAAAGAAATTGTGGTGTCGTAATCAGCAACTAAGAGCACACAGAATACTCCAGTAGACGACCAGGGTTTTTAACTCTGCCTGTGTGACCTTGGGTAGGTACCCTGTTCTCTAGGTAGTGGGAGATTGAGGGGGTCCTGGATAAGTCACTGGACTAGGAGTCAGAAGCAGCCTTCTCATCCCAGTTCTGCTGGTTTCTGGACAGGGGACCTTGGGCAAGTCGTTGAAGGCCTCAGGGTCCTCCCCACGTATGGGGATAACAGCTGATCATGGAACATGTGATGATATTTCTGGAGGTGTGCAGTGTGCGGCCCAAAGGGCAGTACATGTCAACTCTGTGCCAGCTCCTAAGGTTGAATTGAGAACTCAATGAAGTAAAGTATGGAAGTCACACACAGCACTGGGATGGATTCAGTACTTGCTAGAAAGTGACTCCCTTCCCCTTCTCTCATTTGAGCTGTGTTCCCACCTTGCAGGATCTGGGATAAATATCCAGCTCTGGGTTTTGGTTATTGGGTTTCTCTAGGGTAAAACTTAAGTGCAATGGTTTTTAGGTCCATTTTGCTATCCCGGGGGCTGGAGGGTCCTTTCTGGACCTGGAGAACTGATTGTGATGTGATCGTGACAACATGCTTTAGTGCACGCTGACGGCAGGAATTAAAACCCAGGGGATGTCATCGAATCCCACCTTGGAGCACCTTTCAAGAGCTTACTGGAAAACCTCTGTATTTACTAGTTTTCTGGCAGATGGGGAAACAGAGGTGGAGGGAACAGCTAGAGCATTCTAGGTGCCCAACGTGTGGGAACTGAATTTGCCCCAAGTCCCTTGTCTAACACATTAGGGAGTTCAAGCCCAGGCCAGTGCATGAAACTAAGATCCAGAAAGGTGAAGCAGCTGATGAACGGCCATGTTCGAGGGCAGAAAGATGCTAGAGAGGGCCCTGAAGCTGCTGCCAGCACTGAGGGAGGGTGAAGAAGCAACAGGCTTGCTTTGTTTCTCTTAAGTCCCCGGGGCGGCCTTCCACCATGGCTGGTTCACATCCATTTCTATCCACATTCACACACAGCACATGTAAGAATGTGGAAAGCCTTCAAATCGGCAGTGAAACACCTGGATTTGGTCCTGGCTCACTACGCTTGTGACCTGAGGTCCCTGAGCCTCAGTTTACTCATGTGTGAAATGGGGCTGCTTGCTGCCTGCCTTGCCCTCTCTTAGGCAGTGAAATACACAAACCCAATGAGCCACCCCCACAGCCCCCACTGATCCAGCCTCCCCCACCACCAGCAGAAAAATCTGGGAGGTCAGGCACATGACCCTGCAGAGAACGCATGAGCGCCTCTGCACACAGCCCTGGGCAGGGCTTGTTGCTCTTTCAGCTGGTGAATGATGGAAACTCATGGAAAACAGCAGACAAAGCAGCCCTGGGGATAGGGAAGCTTCCAGAGAGACCCGTGACAGGGCCATAGGGATGCTGGGTCTGGAAACCAAAAGCCACTGGACTCTGTAAACCCACTAGGCACAGCAGAGGCAGAAGGGGTGATGAGCACAAGGCGAGTGGTGGTGGAGGCGCCCCCCGGGGCCAGCCCCAGCATGCCCCTCCAGAGGCACCGGGCATCCTTCAGGGGAGCACGGATATCATCTCCCCTGGAAAGCCCCCCAGCCTCCAGGACCAACGCTGTGGGTGGTCTTGTCCGAGCACCCAGGGTCTATGTAGGGATGGCACCCACTGTGTGCACAGGTGGCCTGGCGGCCCGTGTGACCCGTCGGGCCCTGGGCATCAGCAGTGTCTTCCTGCAAGGCCTGCGGAGCTCAGGAACCACGGCGCCTATTCCAGGCCTGGAAAGGGACCTCAGTGTCGTCGAGGACCTGGGGGGTTGCCTGGTGGAATACATGGCCAAGGTGCACGCCCTCGAGAAGGTCAGCCAGGAGCTGGAGGCACAGCTGCAGATGCACCTGGAGAGCAAGGCCGGGCGCTCGGAGAACTGGGGTGCCCTCAGGGCCTCCTGGGCCAGCAGCTGCCAGCAGGTGAGTGCCTGGGCTGTGCCCAAGGGCTTTGCCTATGGCTGGGAGAGGGTGCTGACAGCTGCCTTTGCACCATCTCTGAGGGGTCATTATCAGAGAAGAAAAGTGCTAAGCCAAGGGGCAGGGGGGTAAGCGGTCTGTGGCCAGAGAAACTGACTATAATCCCTTAAACTTTCATGCTAAAAATACGATGACAATGCTAACAATAACAATGGCTACCATTTCCTGAAGTGTCCTAGGGGCCAGCCCCATGATGGTCTTTCTATATGCACTATCCCCTCTGATGTTCAAGGCCGTGCTGTGCCAGGGCTCATTTGTTGACTGCATTTCTCAGACGAGGAAACTGAGGCACAGAGAAGTTATTTGCCCAAGGTCACACAGCTAGTAGGGAGATGAGACTGAGATTTAAACCTGAATTTTTCCAGCTCCACAGCTTGCATTTGTCCCATTACCCTGGGCTGACTCTAACCTTTGTGTTAAGAAAAGATTATTACAGCCATCATTAAATGGAATACCATTGAAAGGATGTGGCATTAAACATTATGGAAAAATGGAGGTAAGTTCCTGTAGCCGTCTATAACAGCACTGACCAATAGAAATATGAGCCACAGGGTTACTAACAAGTTTCTATTGCCCACAGTAAAAAAAAGTGAAAAGAAACAGTTGAAGTTAATGTTAGTATGTCTTATTTAACTCAATATATTTTAAATGTTATTTCAACATGTAATCAATATAAAAATATTAATGAGATAATTTACATTCAAACAGAACTTTCGGCAGTGATGGCAATGTCCTGTGTCTGCATTGTCCAGTCCGGTAGCCACTAGCCGCATACGCCTATTGAGCACTTGAAATGTGGCTAATGAGACTGAGGAATTGAAATTTTTATTTTATTTTTCATTAATTCAAATAGCCACACGTGGCTAGTGGCTGTCTTACTGGCCAGGGCAGGAGCCAGAGTCTCATTTTTCTCCCTTGCTTGGTCAGGACCTGCTCTCTAGGGCTATTTCTGCTGAGCACCGAGTTCATGCATCATGTCTGACCTGCAGCCTGTGGTTCTGACGCTGGGACTCCAGCCACTATTGCACGTCTCATCTGCCCCTTTGTGGGTGGCTGGCTTCTCTCCTCCCCTCACCACCAAGTGCTGGTCTTGGGATTCCTCTGAGCTAAACCAGCCTCAGACCCCGCTAGGAACTGCCAGCTCAGTCCCCTTGCACCCAAGGGCCCAGCATGCAGCTCCCGAGAGGAGGTCACTAGCCTTCACCCGTGTGTGGCTGGGTGATGCTTAGCAGACTCATTCAGGAGGCCCCTGTTTGCTCTCCTGCCCCCCGTTGCATCCCAGGATGCTTCTCCTCACCATCAGTCAGTGCCCGGCTGATGGCACAGTCCACGTGATGTACAACCCTGTCCTCTAGGCTCCCCACTGGCACTGCTGTTCCGCTGGCATCCATCTGGGCCATGAGGGAGAGCCATCTCAGAGTAGTCCCGGGCCTAAAAGTCGTCAGTCTAAGGCAGCCATTCCTCCAGGATTCCCCCCAACAGTGCTGATTCCAAATATTTATGTCCTATGAATCACCAGAACGTTCCTAGATATTCCAGTATTTCAGCATCTGCCAGACGATTTCTTGCACTCAGATGCCACACAGACTTTTCATGAGAAGCCAGGCATCCCAATTTCTAGGTCAAAAAGTATGGCCACAAGACTTAGTCCATCCGCAACAGGGCCAGACCAGCTAGCGACAGGGGCTTGGGCTGCGCGAGCGAAGGCCAGACGCCGGGATGTTTGGCCCCCGCCACTGTGGTCAGAATCCCAAATGGGGGCCATTTGCCTTTTAAGTGACTATAAATGAGATCCTAGGTTGAATACAGAGCTCTCTTTTTCTTCTTCTTTTTAAAACATGGACGTGAAGAGACAGTCAGACCAACCTGTAAGATGGAGTTATTTCTGTATCACACAGCCTGGCCTTCCAGCCATATTAAGCTCTGTTCCATCAAAAAGAACAAAAGAAAATTCTACATATTTGAGATATACACATGATTTTTCCTTTGTTACTGTTGCAAAACTGCCTCGCACTGCCCAGCCCCCTCCAGGCCTCAACACCCGCTGGAATATGGCTTTGCTGACCCCTGCACTCCAGCCTGCATTCTCCACCAGTCACCAGAAGGATCTTTTGGACACGTGGGATCTGACCACGTTATGTCCCCGCCCAAAAGCCTTTCTCATCACTGACAGGACACAACCCATGACCCAGGGCTCAGGCCACAAGGCCCTTCCGAAGCCCCCTCTCTGTCCCAGCCGTACCACCCACCGGGGGCCCATGAACACACAGCACGCCCCCAGCCTCACTGCTCCTCTGTGATGCTGTCCCTGCTCCTTCGATGATCTCGTGACACCTGTGTCTGCGTCCTGTGGCAGTTCCCCTTTGTCCTGTGGTCATTTGCATCTCCATGCCCTCACACCCCAGGCTCACATAGAGGAGGACCAGGTCTTCCCAGCACAGTGAGAGAGTGGAAAGGACATAAACTGGGAGTCAGGTGAACTTGCATTTGTATGTTGGCTCCGCTATCTGCTAGCTGGGTGACTTTAGGTCAGTTACTTAACTTCTCTGAGTGTCCTTCCTCATTTGCAATTTGGGGATCACTGTATCCACTGTGCAGAACTGTTAAGGGGGTTAACTGAATGTAATGTACCTAGTAAAATCAGTGGTGAACAGCTTAGAAAGACTTTCATTCGTGGCATCGCAGGTGCCTCAAGCCATGTACAGGATTGATGCTCAGCAATGATAGGGATGTCCCTTCAGATCCAAGTTCCACCACTTACTTGGACTTCCTTCCGCTCCGTGTTTCACTTTCCTCATCTTCGAAATGGATGAACACCTCTCAGGGTCATTGTGAGCATGAAATAAGATGCAAAAAGGGGCTTCAGGAACTATGAAGTGCTGTGCACAGGCAACGTGGTCAGGCCCCTCCCGCCCTCCCCTCCTTGCCCTGCCCCCAGCAAGGGCCTGGTCCCAGAGGCAGGGAGGGTCAGGGTGGCATCTTACAGTAGGGCATGGCAGCAGCTGTCCCCATCAGGGCTGGCAGTGCCACAGCACATTCAGCAGGCGCCTGGGGGTGGGGAGGGTGAAACTCTGGCCCACCCTTGATCCCGGTGCCTACAGAGTGGCACTGAGGTTTCCATCTTCTGGGGGGTGCGTTGGAGTGGCTGGTCTGTGGGAAAGGGAGATGCCCAGCTTGACTTCCCAGCCCCTGGCCAAGACCTGGCGCATGGGCCCAGTGGCTAGTGGGAAGGGTAACCCAGCAGTTAGTGGGCCACACAGAGCCTCAAATGTTGGGACGGGGCCACTGGGGGCCTAGGAGGGTTTGCACTTGCCCCTTCAGTGTCCCTGTGCCGGAGGGAGTGCAAGATTAAATAGCAAAATTTACCATGACAGGTTGAGAGAAAAACCACGGAAGAAAGGATAAAGCTTTACATTTTAGTAACTTTAAAAGCCTTTTTTTTTCCTGCTTTTTGAACAAGGAGCTCCACATTTTTGTTTTGCACTGGGACCCACAAATTATGTAGCCAGTCCTGGTTAGGGTTAAATGTACGTGAAGTTCCTTTTCAACTCCAAACCTCTCTGCCCGCTCCTCAGCTGTGTTGGGGTCTCTCGGCCACTTCTGCTAAGCAGTGAAAACAGGAAGACTCCCCAGTGGTGGCCACAGAGGCCAGGGAGGCCCCGCCCCTGCCCACTGCTCCCGCAGAAGGTGGCCCTTCCCCTCTCGGGCTTTGCTCCTGGCTTTTCTTGCCAAGAGAACGATGCTGATGATAAGCTCTGGGCGCAACATCAGGCCTTTCATCCTCAAATAGGCCAAATGCAAGCTTGGAATGAGGCAGCCTCCCTGCCTGGGAGCCGCAGATGCAAGAAGAGTGGAGACGGAGCCTCAAAGCGAACAGGGAGAGCCAAGGCCAGGCGGCAGATGCTGCCTGCGGAAAAAGGGGAACGTGGAGGCTGACGCTTCCACCGAAATTAGTGATCTCCACGGGAGAGCAGGGCAGCTTAGACCTCCCACAGCAAAGACTCAGCTGGAGGAAATCAAATTATTGGAAGGCAAAAGGATTAGAATTTAAAATGGACCTGATTTGAATATTTTTCCTGCTGTTCACAGTCCCTCTTTCTGTCTCTTGCAGAGAGAGCGCCCATACTTTGGGGACGTGACTATTTGGGGAAATTCCTGGAAACAGTCAATCTAGATCAGGGCCAGGTTTCTCTCCCCATGAAACCTGAGGTCCTAAAAGGTTTTTTTTAAAAAAACAAGAAAAAAGAAGTAATCCCTCCCCATGGAATAAAAAGAAAGACAACAGGGTCACTGTTCGTGATTCACACCCTGGTGTCTCTGAAAGGGGGAGAGAGAGAAGCACGAGCTATTTTAGTATCTGCGAGGCCCGAATGCATTTACCCAAGACAGACCACACAGTCTATTTCCTAATAAATGCAATTTGTTGGGTCAGAGCAGGCCAGTGAGGCAGTTAGTCCGTTAGCCAAGCTAGAAGGGACACTGAAGTGTCATTAGAAATGTAACTACAGGGAGAAAAATACGTTTGGGGCAATTCCACCCAGGGCGAGTGATGATGTGTAAGACAGGAAGAAATATTTTGATGGAGGACGGGAGGGGCGGGAGGCATGAGGCTTCTCCCAAGGGTCTTGGTTGAGTAATATAATATTTGGTGGAGTAATATTCGTTGCTAAACTGCTTTCTAAGAAGGGTGGTTTCCCATTTCCTGGGGGCTCTTGTTTGGCTAAGTAGAACGTGTCTGGGAGGAAGCAGAATTGCTGAAGAAAACAGAGAGCCTAAGGGCTGTCCTGCCTCTTTCTGAGCCCTTCGCAAACGCTCCCCTCAGCCACTCTTGATTCTCTGCAGATCTCTTAAAATGTGAGGTCCGTGTTAAGGAATGGGGGACAGATAATGCAAAATGGGGGGTGTGCTGCTACGTCTGAGGATTTTGAAGCCAGGGAGCCCCAAAGTCAAACTCAGGCCCTGGTGACCTTGAGGCAAGTTCTTCACCGATCTCGTTCATCTCGATTTCTCATCTGGATGATGAGGATGTCTGGAGACTGTCTTCACATGATAAAATACCTCTAAGAAGGAAACAGTAGAGGCCTTCCCACAGAAACTAGGAACAAGAAAAGCATGCCCACTATCTTTACTACTAAGGAACATTGGTCAGAGGTAGCAGTCGATGCCGTTAGAAGAGAGAAAGCAATCGGAGGTGCAACTTGGAAAGAAGAGAGAAAATGTTGTCTTTCTGGAAAGTCCAAAAGGATCCAGTGTGAAAACTGTCTAGCAAACAAAAAGATAACTTAGTAAAGTTAAATTTAGTAAAGTAGCAGGTTATAAAATGACATTAAAGATGCACGCCCTTCATATACATAAACAACAAAAAGAGAAAATGTCATTTATGATAGCAAAAAATAAGACAAAATGCTTCTAAATGAACTCCGCAAGAAACGTCCAAAATCCATAAGAGACAACGAAAACCTTCTTGAAAGACACGAATGGAAAGAAATACCAGTGCTTGAATATAAAGACTCAAGAAAAACATCGGTTCTCCCTAAGTTCATTTATGAATTTAATGCAATCCTAATTTTTTTAATACCGTAGTTTTTTAAGGATTACAAGGGTTTATTATAAATTTCATACGTAGGAACAAAAAGGCAAGAAATAGCCAAAAAGAAAAACTGAAAGAGAAGAGCAAGGAGGGAAGAGGCAGCTCTCCCAGACATTAAAACATTCTAGGAAGTCTTGGTCGTTAAAGCAGTTTTGTATTGGCACATAAACTATGGGAAGACCAACGGAACAAAATTCAATATTCAAAAGTAGGCCCTACTGCGTGCGGAAATTTAGTATTGTTAAATGCAGCAGGTGAAACCAATGACAGAAAGGATGAACTTTTTCGTGAGTGGTATTCAGATAGCTGGATAGTCATAGGAAAATAATAAAATTGGACCCATCCCTCACTGTACCATTCGGACCAATGCCAAGTGTATCCTAGACTTAAATGTAAAAAAAGAAACCGTACAACTAGAAAGCATGGGTGAATTCCTTTATAACCTGAGTGTGGGAGAATTTTTCCTTGCTATAATTCAAAATCTAAAAGCAATGAAGAAAAATATTGATAAATTTGAATACCAAAAGTTTTTAAGTTTTGCATTGCAGAATAACACCGTAAGCAAAACTAAAACATAGATGACAAATTAGGAAAAAGTATTTGCAATTTAGAATACAAAAGGTTAATAACTCTATTCTATAAACAGCACGTAAAATTTGGAGTTTTAAAATAAAAGCCAACAACATGTGTATTTTTAAATAGATTAGGGATATGAACAGACAGTTGACATAAAAATAAGTGACAATAGCTCTTAACTATATAAAAGGTTGCTCAACCTCACTCATAATAAGAGAACTACAAACAGAACAAGACAAAAACCAACCTGAGATGACATTTTCACGTATCAGATTGGCGACACTCTAGAAGTGTGTCCGTGTGTGCTGCTGGTGAGGCGCTAGGGAAATGGGCAAGTTCGCACAGCTCTGACGGGAAGAGAGAACGTCACAGTCCCCATGGCGAGGAATCTGGCGCATCTCGACAAGTGAGATATGCATTTATGTGTATATGACTTGATCCAGACATCCCACTTCTGCGAATCTCTTCTAACGACACACTGGCAAAAACAGGAACAAGAAGGAAGCACAAAGCTGTTCATTTCCATCAGATCTATCATAACAAAAGACTGCAAATAACCCAAATACCTATCAGTAGGGCCGAGTTGAATAAGCAGTGATACATTCACAAGGGGAATGAGGAATAGCTCTATAACTATTACTGAGTGACCTCCAGGATATATCAAGATAAAAGCAAGGTGGAGAGTGTGTATGTCATCCTACCATTCATCTAAGAAAGAGGAAGGGATATGAACATATACATACATATTTGCTTCTACAGTCATGTGCTGCATAATGATGTTTTAGTCAATGACAGACCACATCTAATGACAGTGGTCTCGTAAAATTAGTACCATAGAGCCCAGGTAGATAGCTATACCATCTAGGTTTGTGTAACTACACTCTATGATGTTCACACAATGACAAAATCGCCTAATGACACATTTCTCAGAACGTACCCCCGTCATTAAGTGATGCATGACTGTAATTGAAAAAAAACAGAGAAAAAAACCCACAAATGTTTTTAAATGATCTCTTTTTGGAGGAGGGATGGTGTGGGGTAGAAGGAAAAGGACTCAACATTAGAATTCTTTTGATTTATCTTGTTTAGTGATGACTTTGGAACCATGCAAATATTTTACAGAATTAAAAAACAAAATTAAATCTTAAAAAGGAAATCCTAAAAATCAAGAGGAAATGGAAACAAATGAATCTAACTACATATCATATTGATGGTATAATCACCCGATTAGAATTGTTCCAACAGTAAGCCACAGTAACTTGACTGTACATCCCTGGTGGGGATGCAGAGTGAGATTAGAATGAGATTATTTTCAGTAACCACATTGTTAGCTGTAGTGCTGGCATTGTCATTCAGACACTAGTGTATGTGTGCATGTGTACTGTGGGATAAAGCAAAAGACTAATTATATTTGTGTCATTAGAACTGAGACTTTTAGTGTGGGTGAAAGGAGACACAATTGTAAGACTGATAAGGTTTAGTGACAATTCTTTAGTCTTGAATTTAAAATGGAATTATCAGTATAAACTCATGGTGTATATGATCAAAAAATATATGCCTATTTCCTAGCTCTGGCCAGTGACAAGACCTAGAAACAACGGCCAACCCAGTGGCAATGAGCCTTTTTAGCCTCAGATTTTGGTTTCTAACTACCACTTTTCACTAAAAGAACAGAGGCTCCTTAGAGAAATGGCTGCATCCAGGTTTGGGTGCAGGAAATGTACAAGATGAGTCTGAAACTTTTTGTCACACCAAACACCAAGTAAACTATAAAGAACTAATAGAGTCATATCAAAAAACTAAGCAGCCAGTTTTAATAAGCTCCAACTAACCAAAGATGATTGAGTATGAACAAGAATATTAACTGCAGTGGATTGAAACACAGCAAATATGTTTAAATCTATGAGGTCAGTATAATATTTTTTAAAAACTCCCAGGGGCTGGACCTGTGGCATAGTGGTTAAGTTCAGCACGCTCTGCTTCAGCAGCCCAGGTACAGTTCCCAGGCACGGAGCTACACCACTTGTCAGCCATGCTGTGGCGGCAACCCACAAACAAAAAAGAGGAAGATTGGCACAATGTTAGCTCAGAGCTAACCTTCCTTAAGCAAAAAAAAGAGAAAGATTGGCAACAGATGTGAGCTCAGGGTGACTCTTCCTCACCAAAAAAAAAAAAAAAAAACCCTCCTCCCACTAATTAACTACATTTGAAGTCTGCTAGGGAATCAACTCATTATTTTGACAACTGGTAAATAATGAGAAAGAATCAGGCATTTTTCCAGCCTTTCCTATAAGACCGATAGGTACATTAAGGTGAAAAAAGAAAGAAAGAAAGAATCTAAGAAAGGAAGTGTCTTTTTATAGAAGTATTCCAGCTAGAAAATGAATAGTGACGTAATTATTATTTATTTTGTTTATACTTATAGTTAATATTAATTATTAAAATAAAATTAGAATATCACCACTTTGCTATAATAAAATAATGGATCTAGGCAATAATGATCATCAAATGGCTACTAAAACCACAAAAAGAGAGACAAGCACACATTATGCACCTCCTTGTGGCGTGCACACCACCACCAATGAAGTAGTCTTGTCAAAAAAACCCCCAAAACTGAATGTGATTAAACCTCAATATAAAACTACGAATTTGTAGGGAACACAATGTTCAGGTGGACGTGTTAATGGACCCCAAAATCAGCAAAATCCAGACTGTGGGAAACTGAAGGACTCGAGATCCAATTTTTTCAACAAGCAAAAATTACAAGGGGGAAAAAAGAGAGATGGAGGGGAAACCTAAGAATTGAAAGAGATTAAATTGACGTATCGACCACTGAAATGGACTTTATTCAAACAAACAAAAAATAGATTAGACAGTTGAGGAAAGATGAACTGGGTATTTCATGATATTGAGGAATTCTCATTAATTTTAGATGTGGTTATGGTTGTGAAGTTATGTGGGTTTTCTAAAGCATCTTTATAATTTAGCAGTACATGCTGAAATATTTGAAGAAATAAGATGATATGATTTGTTCAAAATACTCTGGGGCTGAGCAGAAACGTGAGGGGGTACAGGTGAAACAAGATGAGCCATGTGTTTATATTCACTGAAGCTGGGGGATGGGTATGTGGGGGTCCATTACACCATTCTCTCTTTCTAAATATGTTTGAACCTTTCATAAAAAAATGAAGATAGAATATCTACCTCATAGGGTTGGTCTATGATTTATCATACAACAAAATAATGTATGTAAATTTCTGGGTGCATAATCAACACCCAATTACAGTTTGTGAAAATGAATAAATTTGAAGATACAGACATTAAGTGAGTAATACCATAAATAACTGTGCTTATGTACATGTATTCAGGAGTTGTTCAAGCCACACGCACTGCAGCGGTTTAGAGAAGGAGTAGGGTGTTGGCTGGTCCTAAGTAAGAACGAGGAAGTGGGGACTAAATGTGGGACCCAAAGAACATGCCAGAAGATGGCCCTTCAGACCGGGACCCAGCATGGACAAAGGATGGGAGTCAGGACCTGGTATGACCGTCTGCAAGGCAGTCTGTGCATGGGGCAGATTCCCAAACAGTCGAAGAGAAATATTTGCACTGGATACTTGCTAAAATCGGCAAGACAGATCTTATTCAGACTACTGCAGTAGAGGAGAGAGACTTCGGTACAGAACTGAGCTCAACTCCACAGAACGAAGAGGCAAGAGGCTTTTAGACCTGGGTGTGCTAAAGGAAAAGTACTGAGGAGGTTGGGGTGGCGGTGGTTTATGTGGTCAGGCCACCCGTGTTTGCGAATCGGTACTTATCCAGAGGAGAAACACGCTTCTCATATCTTTCTGACAGGAGCAAATTGGAGCTGGGCGCCCACGAGTTAGCGTTGTGCCTCCCACAGGAAGTGGAAGAGAGGGGAGCTGTCTCCATAGATGTTTGCATTTCCCAGAGATGGCTCCCATGTCCTTGAGGGAACACGCCAGGTTGTAGATTTATATCTCAAAGGGGCAGAGAAAGGATTTACAATTCTAAGTTTTCTAAAGTAATTAAGAAAAGGGCGGTCAGAGGCCTCTCGTCAGGTTTTGGCTGAAATGAACAATAAATTTTTTTGGCAGCTTGAGCTTTCTCAGGCAGGCATTTAAGGGGGCTGGGGGCATCCTAGGGTTGATGGGAGCCCCGCCGGAATTTGGTTGGGTCCCTTAGTGTTGGGGCTGGACGGCATCATTTATGCCGAGAGTTTTGCTGTCTCACCACCAAGCACCAAGCTCTTCCCAGGTCCCAGCCCATGCCCCTGACTCCATCCCCAGAGCCTGCCACGGAGGGGGTTTGCCACGACACACAGAAGGCAGCCAACCAACGGTTGGACAGCAAGGGCTGAATACAGAGTCAGACCGACTCAGGGTTTCAAGTCGGAACCCTGCAGTCAGGGGTGGAGAGCTTTGATAAAGGCCTAGACCAGAGAGAAATGCTGGAAACCACCTGAATGCCAGAGGTGGCTACAGAACGCAGCTGAGTCCTGTGTGGCTGCAAGAAAAGAACAAGGACGCTCCTCATAGATGGACGTGGAACCAGCACCAATGTGTATTTTTGAGTGAAAAGGCAGGCTGCAAACCACGCCAACGCTATGCTATTTGTGTTTTTAAAAAGGTGGGGGGGCAGACTCTGGAAGCTCTCATGGGCTGGTAGCAATGGATGCTTCCAGTGAGCAGGCTGCGGGACTCGACACAGGGCTGGGAGCAGGCTTATGCTGGGCTGTAGACTTTTTTGAACTGTTAGAATGTTTTACCTGAAAAAAAAAAAGTAATAAATAAAACTCCTGCCAGCGACTTGTTACTGGGGGAAGGCAGGGGCGTTCCAGCCAGGTCTGGGGCAGGGGAAGCCCACGGCCTTGTACAAGCAAGCGAACCCTTCTCTGACGTCCCAGCGGGAGAGGAAAGACCCATCGCAACAGCCTCGTCTCTGAACAAAAACCCAACAAAACTAAACACCCGTATATAGAGCAAGAGGAAAGACCTTCTAATGGCCTGCACTCTCTGGAAGAACGAAATTAAAACTTAATGCAGGCAGCTGGCGCAAGGACACACGCGGAGGCTCTTGAGGGGGTTTCTTGAAAGGACGGTTCCAGGCAGAACGTTGTCCTCAGCACTCCCCCAGAGGGTTGATGCTGACCCATCAAAGTTGAGGACTCAATTTAGGAAAATAAAACCTAGTTTATCGTGGTCTGGCTGGGGAAAAGCACGTAAAGACTCACTTATCTGGTTGAAAATGAGCTAGCAGAGCTGACTGTCCCAAACGCATTATTCAGCAGAAATGAGAAGTTGTGTCAGCTGTGATGAGAGGGGAATGAAAAGCAGTGCCCAGGAAGTGGAAAACCCATCACAAAACCCACCTGCTATTGGAAAACGACTTGTATTTATTTATTTCAAGGACTGATGAATAACCATCTCAATAAGTCTTAGGGGAAACACTGCAGCACGG